TTAATTATATATTCTAAAATAATTAGAGCAATATACAACTGTATTACTCATGTTTCTCGCCAAAAACTCAATTTCCCTTTTCTTTACGTTACACTTGAACGCATCATGATAACCCAATTGTCGTTTTACTGAGCCAATCTGAACACATCATCACACAGCACATCTGAAACTTTATTTACTTTTCAAGCTAACTAGCTTGTATGCTTCCGATTACAACACGGATTTCACAATTACTATTTTTAACTGACCGGACAAGCTACAAAGTCTGTGTGTGCGCTTATCAGTGGTACTCTGAGTGGATGATGAAGACGGGCCCGACTGTGGTGCGGTGGCAGCCGCAGGAGGAGGAGGTGTCTTTTCCGTTCAGCCATCCTCGAGTCCCGAGCAAAGTTAACTGCCAGACTTCACTTGTTTTACTTTTAATATCTGTTTGCTTACAATTTAATTCCAAAATTGGTGGACATGCTGCAGTGATTGGATTGATTAGATTTAAATGCTGTGATGCGACTCAAGGGAGTTACAGAACCTCCGGAAGAAAAAAAAAAAAAAACGACCAGACTCGATAGTGGTATCGATAAGCCCAAACGTTATTGATTTTTGGGTTTTGAAAAAAGTGGAACCGGGTCCTTGATAGAACCGGGTTTCGATCCCCATCCCTAATCAGCATCCAGCAAGTGTTCAGTTTCTGCCTTAATATTTTCTTTTTGTTTTGGATTTTGGTAACAGGGATAACTAGGATCATGCAAAACTACTTTTTTATGAACTATGTTTGTTCTCTACATCCAAACTCAGCATCTCTTTATCCATTCATGCAATAAGAAGTCTCTTTTGACTGGGTTTGATTATACTTTTAAGCCCCTCGGTATAAAATAAATATCTTGATGGAGATGAAAAATCTAAAGAACCAATAGTTTGCATCTAATCTTTTAAATAAATGGTGTTAGTTTTTTGGAATATGTAAGAATTATGCCCTAATTTGTAGTTACCGATCTGTAGTTACTATAGTTTAATTTGACAAACCTGATCTTCTCTACTTCCTTTTCATGTTTGGTGCGATTGCAATTGCGGATCTTGACCTGGCCGGACCGCAGCAGAGCAAAAAATAGCTTGGCTCCGTATTTTTACGGTGACGGACGGAGAAGACGTACGTTCATGGTGACGTGCAGAGGAGTTGTGAAGGATGGGGAACAGCTCTCATTGATTAACATGACAGACAAGTACTCAGCGCGACATATGTAAAGGGGGGCGGAGTGTAACTGAGTATATGGAATCTGGGGGTTAGTGGTAGGGTCAGGTATACACTAGTAAGGATTAGGCTTAGTGTTATTTTTAGGGTTAGAGCAAAAGCAGGGGTGATAATGACTGAAAATCAATGGAAGTGAATGAGAATCAACGCATGGTCCTCACTACATATAGCAAGAAGAGAGTGTGTGTGTGTGTGTGTGTGTGTGTGTGTGTGTGTGTGTGTGTGTATGCTTGTGGGTGGATTGGAACAGCATAAAAAATAGAGAGTACCATTCTCCAGACTAGAAGGAAATGTGCTTTCACACTTCAACTATCACTGCCTCATACATTTTTAAGTGTCTTTCATTTCATCATTTGCAATTGTCTTGTCAAAATCCCTTTTTCTATTTCTGAAGGGAAAACCTTTTTCCTTTTTCTGAAACACTTTTTTTTTTATTCTATTAACTTAATCTCTCTTATTCATTTACTACCTAAAAAAAAATCTAATCTTTTTGTTTTAAGGGTTTCTAATGGAAAAGGCAGTGGTCCTTATGAAGAAACGTCATGTGCTGCCAGTACCAGATGCACATCTGAGAAGCAGAGGGTCACCTGCTGTTAAAAGATGTGAGGCATAGGAAGATAGGACTTATTGAAATCAAGTTCTATTGTTTTTTTTGTCTTTTTTTTAATCCTGGATGTAATTTTCTCTGTTCATTATATTTAATATTCAAGTTTCTTTTTTTCAGGCTGTGTTGCATTTGTTGCACCTGAAGGATACAGTGAGTAAATAAATGAAAAAAAAAAAAAAAACTGTTGAGGGGCACCATCTACATAACTCTAAACAGCAGAGCAATATAATGCCTTCAGCAGCTGTAGTTCAGCTTCATTCCTTTGAAAAAAACAAAAACAGCCTAGGAAAAGTATTTGTACTGATTTAACCTTTCATATTTTGTCACTGCAAACTACAGCTTTACTTTAAGTGGATTTATTTATGTGATGCATAAAAACAAAATGCAGAGCTTAAAAATGAAAGGAACATCTTGTATATGTTTTCTTAACTACTTACAAATAAAAATCCAAAACGTTTGGAGATTCTTTCACTGTAATGCTCTGAAACAAAATTGCACCCAGACCTCTATTTAAAGCAATTCAAAATAACTTTCAGTTACGGTTGATTTTGGCTCTTCCAATCGGACCAAATCTGTAATGTGTTGCCAAAAGGAAGACAACATTTCCCATCAGCACCAGGAAATTCTGGTCTTCCGATTACCTGCAGTTGGATTGAACTACGTTTCTGTTTCCAGTGGCTGAGTGAAAGATGAATAGCAAGGATGTAATTAATCTAACTGTGATGAAAAATGTTATATGAAGATGCAGAAAATAATAAACATTTAAATCTAGTTTTATACAGTATTTCTGCACCTGACATATGCTGGTAGAAATGTACACACTTATTTCTGTCAGACAAGTGTGTTGTCTGACAGAAATGATTTACCATGCATGCCTTTTTCTTTACTTCACAATTAAAATGTGCTAAAACTGGTGGTTTGAAGAATTTGTACTTTTGCTTGGTACAGTAAATTTTCTGTGGCATGTAAAAAATAAATAAAATGGATATGATCTATTATTAGAAAATAAGAGCTCATTTTGTGTTTCATAAGAAGTACCAAGCTGAAAGTCTGAAGAGTTTGGTTCAACACCTGAGATTTCGTTAGTTTGCAAAATATACAAGTCATGTCGAAAATCCAAAATTCCTTCAACATTTGAGGAATGTAAATGCTGCCATGCATCACTATTCCCAGACATGATGGTGTAGCAAAATTACAATGTAAACAGAATGGAGGCGTGAACGAATACTACACTTGACAGCTACTGAATTTGTCCTGGATAACAGACAGCGTAGAGCCGTCTCATGTGTGTACACATCACCATGAAAGAGAAAACAACACTGAACGTCTGCAGCTTTGTTGTCGCAATCCTTGGTTGGTCTTACCTGCTCCCGTTTCACAAATGTTGTCTGTCATTTGGGTTTGTTCATGATTTCTCCTTTTTGCCAGAGAGATCATTGGAATGGAAACTGTCAGAACAACTCCCCCCACAGAAAGAGCTGGTGTCTCTACACTTGGTTATGAAACTCAACATGTCTTGTTGACATAATTACAGTATTGCAACTCAATGTAATTCCTGCATGTGCATTGTGAAACTGCACTCCCATGTTAACTGAAAGATAAACACACCTCCCATTCTGTCAAATCAACCTCTGAGTCAATAGAGCATCCTTTCAGAGTGAATGCCACCTGCCAGCCAATCAAACAGTCCCACAAAGTACCCCGACAGAAAAGTCATTGTAGTTTTTCACCAGGAAGCCTTTTACCACCTTCACTACGAAGATGACAACATTTGCTTTGTGCAAAAAATTTAAGTCCAAAAATGTCACAATTTTTTTTTTATTTCTAAATGAGATTATGTATTTTTTTAAATAAACATATAAAATAAATTAATTAAAAGCTAAGTAATAGAACTGCAACAATAATTAATAAGAAAATTCAAAGTAATTTTATCGAAATGTCATACCATTCCCAAGTTTGCTAAATTATTAGGCTCGCTAATCTTCTACATGAAGGGAAACTATCAACATAAAGTAAATAAATGGAGCAGGTTTGCTGAACTATAATCTCAATCATAAAGAGAAAAAAGCAGCACATCCAGAAAGCGAACACATCTCAAAAACAACACCTAAATTCCAAATCCAAAGAAATAAAATAAATAAACTAACCTTTATTATCATTAAAATGCCATTAAACAAATTGACTTTGGGACTCCAGTAAACCACAGTAAGAAAACATTGAACAGAAGTGAACCAGTCAATGAGTTACCTAGGCAGCAGGGCAAAGTCAGCACTGCTGGTTTCACTTACTTTAGTTAAATTCAGTGTTCATTATTCATATTCACTAAACAAACCAAACAAAAACCCTGCTGATATTTGCTAAAAATATTATGATTGACAAGACTTAAGATAGATGAATGTGAAACTTTTTGAACTATTACTGTCACATCCGACAAATAGCTAATTCAGCGTTTAAAAACCAGAAGTTCACACTGATGGTCAAATATGATGCTGGTAGTGTGATAATATGGGGCTGCTTTGATGTTTTAGCACCTGAATGGCTTGCTATAATTGATGGAAATGGCATTGTGTCTATCAAGTCCGTTTGTGAGCCCCAGCCCAAGCAAACTTGGGTAACCGAGAATTAAAACTTTGTAACGCAACACCCCTAATCCACCTGAGTGTCTCAAAAGATAAAATTAAGGTATTAAATCGTTCTTGTCGAAGTAAATTCTACTTAGTTGCAGGGGCATGGCCTTAAACATTCCTGCAATTTAGTATAACAAAGAATTCAGCAAATAAGTATGGGTCACATCAGAGTAAAATACTCACTGAGTGTAATGATTAAGGCTTCATGGCAGTTGCAGCACAGCAGTTATTATGTTTAAATGCAACTGCTTTCTAAAATAGGGTCAAATAGGGAGAATCTTAAGTGTGATGAGAAACGCAAAACATAAGAAATCTGTATGGAGACATACTTTTTTATATGTTAAATATGACTTCTTAATAATTATATTGTGGGAGCTTTGCCCATCCATACAGGGAAAAACATCTGACTAAAAAATAACTGTCCACACGCAAAACAGACAAACTCAGTAGATATGTTATAACTATTGATGCTATAAAAGAGTGAAGAAGAGGATGTGATTTCTTGAAATTATGAACTTACCTGTCGACGTAGGTCCCTGGTCTTTTTGGTCATTTTGTCAATGGCTGAGTTAAGTGGGTCCCCCTTTTCTTTCCTCCCAGTCTGTAAAAAGATACAAAAAAACATGTTAATGCAGTGACAATACATTAAGTTTATCATAGTATATTTTCAATTACATTTAAGGTTATTTCTAGAACAGATTTTAACAATTAGTCTTTAGTTTCTAAATGGACTTTCCAAATGTTGAATGGGACTATTTAGACCAGGACATTCTGATTGAACTGTTACCAGGGTTACCTAGCAACTAGTCAATTTGGCAAGTACCAATTTAGTTGTTTCCAATTTCCCTTTGCACTGTATTTCCTGTCAATGCCAACTCCAACTGATGGCTTTAGGATTGTGCAGACTAACCACATGGTTCACCTGATGCACACCGAGTTGCAAGCTGCTTCTTTTCACTTGACAGTGGGGAGTTTTACGCAGAGAGCAGCACAAACCCCACCTCCCTGCTTTCCCCCTCCTCTGGAGTTAACAAGCACAGGAACCGAAACAGTGGGAGCCACAGTTGGTTACTGGTTCGAGTTACTATGAAAGGACCTCTTTTTTTTGGACTCACATAAAAATACTTCTAATCACATTCATTGCAAAGTCGGCTAAAGATAAGGCTTCACTTTCAGCTAATTACCCCATACCAGAGAGTTTCTGCTCAAAAACCATGACGAATGAATTTTCGCTTTAACTATCATACTTGTGAAGACAGCTTAGCCTAGAGGTTAAAAACGTGCTGTCAGTATCTCGTTGCAGACTATGCAGTGCTAAAAGCAGATGTCTTGAATACAGAGCAAGAAAGAATTCTTAGCCAATGCACACAGATAGAAAATTCATTTAAGATCAACAATATTAGAATTTTACCACACATTTCTATTAAAGAGCTTACTAAAACATTTTCACACACTTGTTTGCATTTGCTCATAATGTATTTAATTTGAATTTTATGTGATAGAATTACATAAGGTAGAACACAGACATAAGTGAGACATAGTAGAGATAGTAAGCATAAATGTTTACAGAAAATAATTTACGCACACAAATCTGAATGGTTCTTTGCACCTTTACCTAACCATCCTCACTGACTGACCCGCATGACATAAAACATCATCAAACACTGTATGGCATACTCTTGGTAAATATTGCTATTATAGAATAATTTGAGATATGTAAACATAATTACTTTAAGTAAACTATGTTACTGTTATTCCATTGTTTCATCTGGGGATGGGAGGGCAGGGGGTTGACAGTTCAATTTCAGCATATTTTTTGTTTTACTCATTATGCATTTGGCTATATTTGTTCCTGAAATATTATCTGCTATATTTACCAGAAAATATAATAAATAATAATATTAATAATAATTACATATATCAACAGAAGTTTAAAGAAAATGTGCAAGCAGGTCCTGTAATTCAAACCTTTTTTCTTTCTATTTTTCTTTCTGATAAAGGTAATGAGGGGTCCTTATTACAGAGGTGTAGGTCTGAGATAGGAACGGTTACAGAAATGGTTCTTTAAAGGTGAAAAATGATCTTTGTTTACTGCTCCATTGGACGACACTCCCTCAGGTCCCTTCAATAAGCTGCTGTATCGAGTCTCATGCCACCACATTTCAAACTGAGTCTATAAATAATTACTCATGTTAATAGCTTTTTGCTCTTATTTTGACAACTGACAAATGGAAAACAACGGCTCATCTCTCTTGTGACGGTCCAATTTCTGCACGGAGAAATATGACAAAGACCAAAAAAGATTGACTGCCGTTTTTTTTTTTATTAGTATCAAACTATAAAATTTAAGCAGGTTGATCAACAGATTGTAAAGCAAAGTCATCCTCTGTCACACCATTTCCAGCATACATAATTATTTGTGCAGTTGCCAGGCAACAATGACACTCGTGTCACTGGTTTAGCATGAAAGCAAGTGATCAAATTGCTTATGTGATTCTAAAGGGAAGCATACACCCGGTGACACCTTTTTTCATTGAATCTAAAGTCTGTCTCGAATGACGAAACCCTGAGAAACACTGACCACTCCAAACATGAGTAAAAGAGCTATTTAGTTTCTATCTTGTTTAATGAGACACAGAATGTGCTGACTTATCTCTGTTACACTGCACTATTGTTCTGCCCTTTTGATAATTGAGTGGAACAGAATGCCTCGTATCCGTGTGTCACCGATAACTAAATGAGCTCACATCAAATGGACACATCACGGTAAAACCCTCCCTCAGTCCCCTCGAGGTTAAAGCTGCTTCTTTTAATGTCTTGGTCACTGTCAGCTTGTAAAAATAACAGCTCTCTCATTAGTTATGAATATGCCTGCCATCACAAACAGATAGCAGCAAGGAGGGGACCACCACTGTGAACTCCAGCCTTCAGCATGTCAACACTGGAAAGTTTCTCTCTCTGAAAGCCCTTTCTTTATCTTTTTTAGCTAATTATGGTGATACATAAGAACATGCAATGTTTTTGAAGTTAAATGAAACCAGCTCCAACTTTTTTATATATATATCTCCCATTTGACTCTACAAATGACTAGGGGAATACAAGTTTAAGAACAAACAGCCATGTGACTCTTCTCAAATGGTTCTTATTTCTAGAACAGGAAGCAGTTTGACGTGTGTTAGGGCCAAGGACATGCAGACATACAAGGTCTAAGATGCTGAAAAACTGGTTTTTGAAAAAGATAAAGCCATAAAAGTGGATACAATTCTTGTTACTTCTAATGTATTGCTAGATTGCCCTTGGCTGAGGCTCATATAGCATTTTTATTCACATGGATTTTGAACATTACATTCAGAATGAGTCATTTATCTCCCTGCTCACATTATAGTTAGTCACTCCCTCTTCTAAATAGGAATGACACAATGCAGTAATTTGTTGTGGGGCAATGCAGCAAGCTGAAAGGAAGAAACCCAGCATGCATAACTTGACCAATGTGCTTTGAGCTTCAGGGCCAATTCAACACAAAATCTCTCCAACTAACTCTTAACAGTCTGCTACACTTGATCCATGAGGTTTTCCCACATATTTGCAAGTGTAATTCTGACATATTGGGACACAGGCTTTTAGCCAGTTGTTAAATGACATAAGGGGAGAGAAAGGAAATGGAGACTGCATTCTGTTACCTTCCATTATGTTACTTTCCACATTCAAACTAGCACTTACACTTTGATGTTCCTATACAGACTAGCTTTTGCTACGTCAAAGTAGAAAGTAGAGGACATAACAACATTAGTCATTGTGTTGCCTTAAGAGCCTAATGTGTCATTAAGGCTCCTGTGGGACAAACAGGATTACAGATGCTTTCCAACGAAATTAATTATAATACAGGTAAATGGGAAAGAGGGGAAGTGTTTAATGGAAGCTTTTTCTGGAAAGCTTCTGCATTTTAATAAAGATGTACAACACAACTCAATATAATATTTTCTCAAAACCTTAATGATGTTTGAAATTGAAGTTACCATGTGCTAAATGAATGAGATACATTCATAGTATTGATGTGATAGTAATTAAATGTTATTTCAGGTCTTTATATCGACGAGTTAGAATAAGAATCCAAATTATTAATATTAGTAAAGCCTAATTCAATCAAAAGGAGAATAAAAAATTACAAATATGTGAAATTGGAGGAGAAAAATGTTTCTCTTGCTATATTCAGTCACCACATTTCTTTAATTTCATTATTCTCTTAATCTTTTATCTTTAAAATAAGAATGTACAGTTTTTGTTTTAAAAATAAGAAAATACTCGATACAAAATAGATAGAGAATGAAAATCACTTTTTTGCTTTTATATTACACGTACATACATGATAGGATGAATAATCAGCTCATGCAAGGTTTTCCTTTAAAACATGAAACATCTAATTAAACCCATTATTCTTGAATCTGGAAATTTTGTATAAAAAGATGTCCACAGCGATGATTCATAGGTTAGCTTGTCTCTCAAACACACATTAGGCTAAATCATTTTCAAACTCAAATATTTCATCTGTGCAGGCAAATGCTGATTCGCAAAGAATATATATTTATTTTCCACTAATTTGGTTGAGAAATAGTTGGTCTTTCATAATTGGTACACAGTGTATCTTAAGAGTTAATTGCAGGTTGTTATAATGAATATGGCTTTGAATTAAAATTATGTTTCTCAGATAAACAGAGTAATAGATAAGAACAACAGAATTTTTATGTGGAAAGATTTTCCTCACTATTGTCAAGTCATGCTCACACATTTGAAGGGAAAAGTATGTTAGAAAAGGCCCTTGAGCAACACAGATAACCCAAGCCTTGAGAAGGTTATGGAGAAGCTGGGTTAACAGTTTTGCTGTGCTATATATATATATATATATATATATATATATATATATATATATATATATATATATATATATATATATATATATATATATATATATATATATATATATATGGTTTAATTAGTTCAACTGGTTCTTTTTTTACATATAGAGTTGCTTTTTTTAATCACAACAATAAAAGCTTTGCAAATGGAATGTTTGGGCAACTCAAGTGTTTCTATGCAGTATCAATGATGAGTTGTTTTTTTTCATGCTTTTAATGCATACTGAAATGTGCATGTTTGGTTCCTGATAAACACATTCCCCGTGTTGCCTTGCAGCAGATGTCTGCCAACTGTCGCTCATCTATTATTTTCCAACCCCATGCTGTGCTCTGTTTCACTTTCTATTGGGGGGTAAAAAGAAGGAATAGGGGCTGTGACAATAAGAATCTTGTAAGTGGAGCAACTGAGGCAGTGAAAGTGGAGTTACTTTGTCCACACAAAAGATGCCTGCTGGCTGATGTATGATGAGGGAACACTGCAGGTTTTAAATGTGTCTTTTCTCTGAGTTCCTCCTACCACAGTAAAGGTTGCCTTGAAGTGCAAACTACATTCCCGCATTTTTAACCTTTAACCTCATAAAGAAGGCATAAGAAGTGCCTTTAATGGTTTTTACGCCAGTTTAAAAAAAAAAGAAGAAGAAATAAAGTGGAGTGGAATGGTTGATCGTTATCTTCCATTCATTTAGTA